GGGGCTAATGCAGAACTGGACAGGGGCTAGTGCAGAACTGGACAGGGGCTAGTGCAGAACTGGACAGGGGCTAATGCAGAACTGGACAGGGGCTAATGCAGAACTGGACAGGGGCTAGTATAGAACTGGACAGGGGCTAGTGCAGAACTGGACAGGGGCTAGTGCAGAACTGGACAGGGGCTAATGCAGAACTGGGCAGAACGTTGTTCCATTGGGCCCGGGAGAGCCATCAGTCAGGGGTGACTCAGCACATGTACCAGGCACTGAGCTAGGAGCAGGAATATAAGAGATAAGAAGTAAAATAATCAGGTGTCTGCTTTCCCAAGCCCAGAGCTAGAGCTAGCAAGTAAGTCAGATGATTAAACAACCACCATAAAGAGCAACAAGGACCCTGGTGGAGGGAGTACAGAGTACACTGGTTGTTGTTGTTATGTGCCGTGAAGTCAGTTCTGACTCATAGTGACCCTACACAGGGTTTCCGAGGCTACAAATCTTTACAGGAGCAGAACGCCTTATCTTTCTCCCGTGGAACCGCTGGTAGTTTAGAACTGCTGACCTTGAGGTTGGCAGCCCGACTCGTAACCACTATGCTACCAGAGCTCTTTGAGTACACTGGAGGCATGGAAAAAATCACTCTCAAGGGCCTGAAGTATAGTTGAGACGTGAATGGTGAGTAGACATTCGCTAACCGGGGGGTGAGGAAAGGAAAGTGCAGCAAGAAGGAATTCCACGGGAGGGACTCACACAGAGAGGGGACACAGTGGACCCTGCTAGAGGATAAGTCCATTTGGAGGGTAGGCCAGTCTTGTCATTTGCCACACAGGGTGTGGGTTTTATCCTGAGGGCCACAGAATGTCTTTGAAGAAATGGACGCAGAGGAGTGAGTTTCTAGAAAGTTCGCTGTGGCTGAGGTAGAGAGACAGATTATGGTGGAGTGAGACCAGTCACAAGGAACCCAGGAGGAAAGCTTCAAGCCAAGAAAGAAAGTGGTCAAAACCCTGCCGAGATCCCTCCACGCATGGTCCAAACGAGCTCACTGGGACCATTCCCACTAAACCGATGGAGATGTTTAACACAGTGCAGGCGGGACCTGAGAGGGTCAACCAGGTGCATGTTAGCCCAAGAAGTCCACAAGGCTGGGCACTGACCCTTGATCACGGGGCAGAACTCTGCTGCCCCTCTTGTTGGCCTGTCTAAGCATGCCAACCTGTCTAGACGCACACGCCTCCCATCTGAGGTTGGAGAGTTCAGCATGCCGTCAATGGACCAATACGTCACTTCAGCTCATAGATACCTCCTTGGGCCTTTATATGCACTGCTGAAGAGCCATCTGTGAAAGCAGTCTCACCTTATCTCAGCTGCTTAGCTGGTTTTTAGTTGATCTTCAAAGATCACTTTCTCCCTTGAAATCCCAGGGCTCCAAAAAAATGCTGGCGCCAGCTCATAGACTAAACTAGAGAATACTCCTTACTTTCCTCTGAATTTGTCTCCTCTGCCAGATACCATACAGCTCCAGGACAAGGATATTTACCTTGCTCATCTCTGTATTCCCAATTCTGACACACACATGGACTGCCAAAAGAACAAACATATCTGTGTTGGAAGAAGTACAGCCAGTATGGCCAGACTTTGTCTCTCAAACTTCAGACAGATTATCAGGAGGGATCAGTCCCTGAAGAAGAACATCACGCTTGGTAAAGTGAAGGGTCAGCAAAAAAAGGGAAGACCCCCACCAAGATGGCACAGAGGTAGCAGCAATGGACTCAAACTTAACAACAATTGTAAGGATGGCACAGGACTGGGCGGTATTGTGTTCTGTTGTTCATAAGGTCACTATGAGTCGGAATTGACTTGATGGCACCTAACAACAACAACAACAACATACACACACAATAAATGTTATTGGATGGATGGATTGCTTCATATACTATAGAGGCACAATTGGTTTTCTTTGTTTCATTGTGCTGTACAGATAGTACATTTTTACAAATTGAAGGTTGATGGTAATTTCACAAGTCTATCGGCACCATCTCTCCAATAGCATGTGCTCTCTTCATGTCTCTGTCAAATTTTGGTCAGTATCAGAGTATTTCAGACCTTTTCATAATGCTATGGCACACTTACTAGACTATAAAACAGCACGACTACTGCCATCGAATAGCAATTCTAAATAGGGTTTACAGAAACAGACAGCTTCATCATTCTCCTGAAGAGTAGCTGGTGGGTTTGAACAGCTGACATTGCAGCTAGCCCAATGCCTAACCCACAGCGCCACCATAGGTCGCCTAAACATAACTTTTATGTGCACTGTTGTTGTTGTTAAGTGCCATCGAGTCAGTTCTGACTCATACCGACTTTGTATAGGGTTTTCAAGGAATGGCTGATGGGTTTGAACCGCCAACCTGTGGTTCAAACCAACCTTGTGGTCCAGTGCTTATCCTACAGCGCCACACCAGGACTCCTTGTATGCACTGAGAAACAAAAAATTCAAGTGACTTGATTTATTGTACCTTTGCCTTTACGGCAGTGGTCTACAGGCAAACATGCATTGCCTCCAAGGTATGCCTCTATGACAGTCCAACCAAATAAATTTATAAACGAATGCAATCAAGAGGGATTCAGGGTGTTCTTTAAGTGCTTCACACTACACCCAAGAGTTCTCAGGGTGAAATATCCAACGAGATGCTCACTTGGCACCTTCAAGACTCACCTCATTCCTTCTGCCGCCATCTTATCAAGGTTGGCCGTGTGCTTTGTTTCTGCCCAGTTTGCTCCCAGGTCACCCCATCCCATGTCATCTGCCAAGATGATCACAAAATTTGGTTTCTGGCCTCCACTTTTCCCACTGAAGTGAAAATCCACAAGAGGATACAAAAATCCAAAAAAACTCAACACCGCAGTCAAAACCTTGAGAAAAAACCAGCCCATGGTGGTAAGGAAAGGATTCCAGTTGTTTGAGGTGATGGTGGGCCACCCCTCGAGATGATTCTGAGGGAATCTCTTCTGTTCGCTTTCAATGTAGGAGCAACAGTGGGGTCTTCAGGAAGATAGGGTATCGGTGGGGGCAGCAGAGGTGGTGGCAGTGATGGCTACAGTGGGGGGCTACCAAAATGATGTCACCATCTGAAATCCTCACTCAGAAATTCTCATATCCCGTCCACAGCGAATAGCTCGGAGGACCGAGTAGGCTTATCAATCAAGTCTCAAGGTCATCAACTGCTCTTCTTCACGTGGGTTCTATGGACCATTGCACAGCCACTTAGAAAGTGACTCTGCCATGTTTAGGGATGCTAGAGCCAGAGCACAAATCTTGCATCTGTTTGGACTCCAGCTGTCAGCCTCAGGATCAGTTCTCACATCTGCAGAACACCTGGATGTTCTAGAAGCTGCAGCCAGCCCTGAATGTGTTTCTAAGTTCCAGATGGCTCAGAGCTTCAGGTTTCTTTGAGGTTTCCTGAAAGAACAAAAATTGACCAGAGAATGGTGTTAAAACAGCCAGTGCAGCTGTGTTTTACTTAGTAGCTTAGGAAATAATCACTTTTCCATGCCAACAGCTGTTTTCCTTCTCACTGGAATATTTAATCAGGACAGCAAGTTTCCCCACCTGAAAAACAGTGATGGTAATAATTTGGGCCAGGGATCTATTGTCACAAGGCTGGAAGCTACATCAGAGATTGTCTCTCTCAATCTACTCACTGCCCAGATGGACAGACTGAGGGCCAGCACCCAGCTCTGCTACATTCCAGTTTCCCACCATCCAGCCACCTCCATGCTTCTCTGATTCACAAAGAATTTCCAAGCTAGTTGTGAATTGAATCATCAAACCTACCACGAATTCTACAGGAAAGGCTGAGACCTTCGTTACCAGGACATGACTCTTTCAATCTAATATTACTGATAAAAATTAATTTTGGAGAAAAGGAAATGATATTTTTAAAAAAACACTTTTTTTTATGGGGGATATATGAGTGTTCACTGTAAAATTGAATTTTGCCATACACATGCAGTTTCACGATAAAATTCTCAAGAAAAGGAAATGCATCACTTTAAATCCTGACTGTCATTTTAAATAGGAAAATCCAAAGCTCCATAAAACCAGTGTTTCTCACACTTGAATGTCCATTTGAGACAACTTGGGAGTTTATCAAAATGCAGCTTTTGTAGATATGCCTGCGGCTTGGAAGTCTAACGTCTAACAAGCTCCTGCGTGAGGCTATACTGCTTGGCCTTGGACCACACTTTGAGTAGCAAGATGCTGGAAAAACAAAAACATCCTGAGTCTGATTTTAGAAGAAAAGGCTTGATCTACCTAAACATGGATCAACTTCAGGGGCCTAGCAGAAAAGTAACAAATCAGTGAGTTCTTTGTTTGAGTTGGTTGTGTGCACATTGAGTTCTGAGAGACAGAAACTGAAGGGTCTACTTTCAGCTGAAAGTTGTAAATGAAGCAGGGAATAGAACCTTGTATTTGTTAAGTACTGTCAAGTCTGTTCCGACTCACAGTGACCCTGTATAGTATAGGGTTTCTGAGAAGTGGTTGGTGAGCTTGAACCGCTGACCTTGCAATGCAAACCAACTTTGCAGTTCAGTGCTTATCCTGCAGTGCCACACCAGGACTCCATAGTTCATTTTGTTATTGTTGTTAAGAGGCTGGTGAGCTTGAACCACTGACCTTGCGATTCAAACCAACCTCGTAGTCCAGTGCTTATCTTACAGCGCCACACCAGGACTCCATGATTCACTTTGTTGTTGTTGAGAGGCTGGTGAGCTTGAATTGTTGACCTTGAGATTCAAACTGACTTTGCAGGCCAGCGCATTAACCCACAGCACCACACCAGGACGCCATTGTTGTTGTGAAGTGCTGTCGAGTCGGTTCTGACCCACAGCGACCCTGTATGGGGCTTCCTAGGAGCTGCTGGTGAGCTTAAACTGCCAACCTTGCAGTTCAAACAGCTTTGCAGTCTGGCGCATTAACCCACAGTGCCATACCAGGACTCCTAGTTCACTTTAAAGCCCCAAGTTTACAAGGCTACTAAAGAGACTGGACAGAGACCTGGTGTGGTGCTGTGGGTTAATGCGCCAGACTGCAAAGTCATTTGGACTGCAAGGTCGGCAGTTCAAGCTCTCCAGCCACTCCTTGGAAAGCCTACATAGAGTCGCTATAGGTCGAAACCGACTCGACGGCACTCAACAACAACAACAGAGAGACTGGGCAGTGTCACTTTCTGTGCATAGGGTTGCTATGAGTCGGAGTCGACACTATGACACCTAGCATCTAAAGAGACAGGAGTCTTGGTGGTACCACAATTAAGTGCTTAGTTACTAACAGTAAGGTTGGTAGTTTGAACCCACCCAGCTGTTCTATGGTGATCTGCTTCTATAAAGATGATGATTGTGGTTGTGTGCCATCAAGTCGATTTCAATGCATCATGACCCTGGAGGACAGATTAGAACTGCCCCATAGGGGTTTCAAGGCTGTAATCTCCACAAAAGCCAACTGCCACATCGTTCTCCTGTGGAGCAAGCAGTTGGCGGGATCAAGCCACTACCTTTGGGTTAGCAGTTAACCATGATGTTACAAGGGGTACTTAATTCCAGTCAAGAAAATTCTATGGGACAATTTTACTCTGTCATATGGGGTTGTTATGAGTTGGAACTGACTCATCAGCAGTTAGCAATAACTAAGGGACACAAGAATTGACATTCTGGACCAAACATGAACTTCACTTGAACATCCAAACTGAGGAGAGGGTTAAAGGGTGATCAATTTAGAATGATGGTGTTGCTAGGGCTTTGTTTACAACCCATCCTTTTTCCAGTTGTGTAACCCGGCCCTAAAGAAAGGAATTCTAAGCTGATTGGAGGTATGTAAATTCTGGAAGACCTAGATAAACTCAAAACAGTGGGCAGATACACACTGAATCAGAATAAAAGGAAGTTCAAATAAACAGTCATGGTCATATGGAGACCAATGAATCAATTGTTCAGAAATGCAAATTCTTCCATTTTCCAAAAGGAGTTATTATTTCAAACTCAATTAGATTCAACTGGTATTTGTTGATCTTGAGGCTCCAAAAGCATCTCCCTTTCAAGAAGAAAGAGATCATACACAAGGAGAGCACTTAAACAACACTGATTGGTTGCTTGGTTGGTTGATGCCTAGTCTCCTACTTCTGGCTTTGGACCATTAGCAACAATCACAGGAGGCTTTTCTTCTTAAAACTACTTAGTTTGAAACGCCAGCGTAACCTCATTCCTTGTCAATAATCCACTTTGGATTGACCCAATGTTGAAGACTCAGGCAAAAAAAAAAAAATTACTTTGTTTTTCTTTAGAGTTCCAGGATAAATAAATCCTTTGAGGAATTTCAAAGAGAATAATTAATACTTCAGTTTTTTTCTCAATCTCATTTAGAAAGCAGAAAAACTATCCTTCATGCTCACACCTCCAGGGAGACATTTAATCCTTTCCCCGTTTTTTTTTTTTTAATAAAGGGAAAGGGCAAACGAGACATTCCAAGAATGAACTCCAAGCCATGAACTTTGATTCGGGTCCCAGTTGAGACTCTGTGCTCAGGTGCCCTGAAGAAATTGGCACCAGTGGCTGTCCTCTGCCCTTATCTGCCAATGTAACTTTCTCAGCCTTTTCTATTTCTTTTTCAAGGCGCAATTTCTTTATTAATTGAGTTAAACTGTTGTTTAGTTTAACAATGACTTCATGGGATTGTTTTGGTTCAAGGTTTAAAGATTATTCCTGGGCAATAGATTCAAGAGTCCCCACCCCTACCCTCGTCTCAATGGATTCCTATGAATTTGAAGTTCTGTTCCCCAATTTTCCTCCTTTTGATCAGGATCCATCTACTGGGTGCTTGATTACAACGTTCGTCTGGTCTCAAGGCAGAAAAGGTCATGAAAGTAATTAAACCTGCAATTCTTTTTTTCCCCCCCAATTCCTGTTTTCCTTTGCTGCCCCTGTATTTGTATCTTGGTTGGTCACTCATAAGCTTCTTAATACCCCAGGGACTGCTCACCAAACTGTGAGGGTGAGTCAAAAATTACCCGCACTCCAGGTATATTAACACGCCCGTCTGTGTCCATAGCTGATGGCAACATTGAGCAGGCCCATGAAATGATTCTCTCAAACAGACGAGTGACCGTGAATTATGTGGCAAATCACTTGCAAATCAGCCATGATTCTCTCTGCCTAGGAAATCATCCACAACAGACCTGAGTTTTGAAAGTTTATGTGAGATGGGAACCATAACAACTCACGGAAGAACATAAACAGAAGCATTTGGACATCTACAAACAAATTTTCAACCAATACTCGAAGGAAGGTAAACGTTTCTTTAAAAAAAAAAAACTACTGCTGATGAGACATGGATTCATCACTAGGAGCCTGAGAGTAAACGGCAGTGTATGGAATGGAACCATCCTCAATTGCCGACCAAGAAAAAGTTCCAAAGTCAACCATCCACTAGAAAATTGCTGGAATTCTCATGGGCCACTATTGGAACGCTATCAGGAAAAAGGTTCAACAATCAACCATGCTCATTACAGTGAGATGCTCCCTGAAGAGCTGTTACTGATAGATTAGCAGTCCAGTGCTCATCCTACAGTACCACACCACGACTCCTTAGAGAAATGCAAATCAAACCAATGAGATATCATCTCATCAGAACAATAATGAAAAAGTTTTTTACAAAAGTACTGGCAAGAGTGTGGAGAAACTGGAAGCCTCATACATTACGGGCAGAACTTTAATATAATACAACTACTCTAGAAAACAACATGGCGCTTCTTTAAAAAGTTGGAAATAGTAATACCAAGTGCTCCAGCAATCTCTCTACTCGGTGTATGTTGTTGTTGTTAAGTGCCATTGAATCACTTGTGACTCAAAGCAACACTGTATGGGTTTCCAAGGAGCAGCTGGTGGGTTTGAACCACTGA